CTGTTGAAAATTCTTATGCAAATGTTGATTGTATTGAAACTCCTAATTTTGATTTGGTGGATCAAACTAATTTTTAGGATGGTTTGAAAAAAAAAGATATTTTTAATAAATTTTTTCTTTAATAAATTTGCGGAGAAAAAATTTTAGGTCCACATTTTAAATTTTCGAACAGGGCCTCCGAATATCATGGGCCGGCCCTGGGGACATCAACTTTCACCGGAGCATTTACAGCTGGTATGTGTGACTTTGTCACTCTTTTCTGGTCAGTAAAAGAATCCGGCAGTTGGTTTGCTAAACCTTGTAAATGAATTATCTTTTGAACTTCCAGTTCACATTGCCTAGTACGAGGATCAAGGTGAGATAATGATAATTCACTCCAACAAATATCTTTTCCCAGCTGTTTGTTCTCACCCCCTAATGTTGGAAAAACTTATTCGTCAAAATGACAATCAGCAAAACGAGCAGTGAATAAATCTCCCGTCAAGGGTTCTAAGTATTTTATGATTGACGGGGACTCATATCCAATATAAATTCCCAACCTCCTTTGAGGACCCATCTTAACACGCTGTGGTGGAGCAATAGGGATGTAGACGGCACAACCAAATATTTTTAGATGGAAAATATTAGGTTCTTGACCAAAAACCATTTGCAAGGGGGAAATTTCATGATAACTTGTTGGCATTATGCGAATTAATGTTGCCGCATGCAATATAGCATGTCCCCAACAAGAAATTGGCAAGCTTGTTTACATAAGCAATGGTCTTGCAATAAGTTTCAAACGCTTAATAAATGATTCTGCAAGGCCATTTTTTGTATGAACATGTGCTACAGGATGTTCAACATCAATCCCAATGGACATACAATAGTCATTGAAAGTTTGTGAAGTAAATTCACCAGCATTATCTAGACGTATTTTCTTGATTGGAGAATCAGGAAAATGTGCTCGTAGTCGTATCAATTGGGCAAGTAATCTAGCAAACGCCAGGTTGCGAGTTGATAGTAAGCACACATGTGACCATCTAGTTGATGCATCAACTAAAACCATAAAATATATAATGGTCCACATGGTGGGTGAATTGGCCCGCATATATCACCATGTATACGTCCTAAAAATGTGAGAGATTCACTCCTTACTTTCATAGGTGATGGCCATAGAATCAACTTGCCACGAGAACATGCAACACATGGTACATCTTTAAACTGATAAATTTTTTGACCTTTCAACGGATGTCCACATGTATTGGCAATGATTTTTCGCATCATAATCAATCCGGGATGGCCTAACTGGTGATGCCAAACTATAAAATTATAAAGATTTGTAAATTTCTGGTTTACCACTGCATGTGTTTCAATTGTACTAATAAACGTGTAGTACAACCCAGAAGAAATAGCAGGCAATTTCTCCAATATGTATTTCTTATTGGAGACCATATTTGTTATCATAATATACTCTTTATTCTCTTCTTCCTTTGTCTCAATATGATATCCATTTCGGCGAATATCTTTGTAACTCAATAAATTTCTTTGAGACTTTGAAGAGTATAAGGCTTCATTGATATATAACTTGGTTCCTTTTGGTAACAATACACTAGCTCTTCCGGAGCCTTCAATTAAATTTGTACTTCCAGATATAGTACTAATATTTGCTTCTCGCATTTCAAGATGAGAAAAATATTTCTTATCCTTCAAGATTGTATGTGTCGATGCACTATCAATAAGACACACATCATGGTATTTGATCTTGGTGTCAAGCATGAGAATATTCATTCTTCACAAAAGATAGAAAGTAAATCAATATAAGAAAATATCTCCAAATAAATATAAAAATAATGACGTGATTATAATAGATGAAATTAAACCACATAAGGATTATAAAGAGAAATTATATTAAACTGGCACATTAATAGGAAAAACATACTAAGGAAATTGACAAAGAAAGTGAAATTTCAAATGGGAAACCTAAACTTTCCACTTGTGAACAAAACGACAACGAAATAGAAATTTCAAATGGAAATGCTAAGGCCCTGTTCACTTTCATTTTCGTTTCCTGTTTTTTGTTTTCATGTCATAAATTTGGCAACCGAAATGAGAAAACTTGTTTACTTTTCATTCTGTTTTCTATTCGTTTCCAACTATGAAAACATAAAGTGGCAACTTCCTGTTGTTTTCGAAAACTACAAAATGTTGTTTTCACCTGTTTTCAATATCTGTTTTCTCAAAAACAGGAAACAGAAATGAAAGTAAACAGGCCCTAAGTTTTTCACTTGCGAACATTCCCATCACCAATCAGGTGATCTATTTTTCCTTCAGGGAAGTCGTACACATCTAGATGAGTAGCATCATTATAGTCTTTTCTTGAATTATCTTCCTCAAAAATAAAATTGGTTTCTATCTTCTTCCCTTTCAATGATTCTTGGTAGAGGTTAACCAAGTGTTTTGGCGTGCGACAGGTACGAGACCAATTACCTTTTCCACCACAACGGTAACACACATTTTCGACGTGTTTGTTACCATGAACACTTTGTTCCTTGCTTCTTCTATCATCATTTTTTCCACTTCTGGGGGAAAATGAGCTTTTGGAACTTTCACCACGGCCAAGATCTCGGCCACCGCCACGGCCTCGAGCATGACCACGCCCACGTCCTCGTCCATGTCCACGTCCATGTATTTGCCCATAAGGATATTGGGTGAACGTCGCCGCATTCGCTTCTGGGAATGAGGCGGCACCAGTAGGACGAGATTGGTGATTTTTCATTAAGAGCTCATTATTTTGTTCAGCAACAAGGAGACAAGAAATCGACTCAGAATATTTCTTGAAACCTTTCTCACGGTATTGCTGTTGCAGGAGCACATTGGATGAATGAAAAGTGGAGAATGTTTTTTCCAACATATCTTCATCAATAATATTTTCTCCACATAACAGTAGTTGTGAGGTTATTTTGAATAGCTCCGAATTATAATCACTCACAGATTTAAAATCTTGTAACCTCAAATGCATCCAATCATAACGAGCCTTAGGAAGAATCACAGTTTTTTGGTGGTCATACTGCTCCTTCAAATTAGTCCACAAAATAAGTGGATCTTTTACCGTAAGATACTCATTCTTCAATCCCTCGTGGAGGTGATGTCGAAGAAAGATCATTGCTTTAGCTTTGTCTTGATCTGATGCTTCATTGCCCTCTTTAATCGTGTCTCCAAGACCGTTGGCAGCTAAATGAATTTCAGCATCTAGCACCCATGATAGACAATTCTTTCTAGTGACATCAAGAGCCATAAACTCAAGCTTTGAAAGATTCGACATACTATCATAAAAATATACACAAATTAAAGTCAAAATTCAATAAATAAATATAGATTACTATCAAGACAAACGACTTATGTGACCCATGATATATCAATTTGATATTTTTTACAAATATATAAATAAATTCGAAAAACAAAATAAACAAATTATAAAGGCAAAATATATGCATATTTTTATACTACTACTACGAAGTATATATAATAATGACTTGCTAAAAAAAATATTAAGAAGGAAATTATACCTTTGCATTCTCAAACAAAGTTTTCATGTGTTGATTAATAAAGGAAATTATGTAAATTGAAATAGAACAATAAAAGAAACAATTTGGGAGAATCGACATACCTTGAGCAGAACAATTATGGATTTAACCTTTTCAAAGGAAAGAGTCTCGTGCTGATAACGTGTTATAAAACTAATGAAAAATGTAAACAACTACAAGAGAAGATTAGAGAGGGAAAGACACAAGAGAAGTGAGAGGAATAGTTCTTCTTATTCATACTTCATTTGTGATACAATAGTGTGCTCTATTTATAGGCACCTTTTGGTAGCCACTACATTCTTACATCAATGCATATGAATTAGAGATAATAATATAGGAATGAGAGTTACATGTAACTCCCAAGTGAGCATCTAATGTGGTAGGCATTGATCATCCATATATAAATATTTACATAATAAATATAGATTTATTTTTCAGTTTGGTATTATTTATAAAGATTGAACCAAAAACTTTCGACTTTAAAATTCCGATATAACTTCTATAAATTAATATAATCAGAACCGTGAAAATTATTAATTTATAATAATTAATACTTAATCGATAAATTAATCATTATTAATTTAAGAAGTTTTTCTTATCATGTATGTTCATCGTATCTTCCAAACATTACAAGTTCATACGATATGATTAATGGTATAGGATTATCGTAACAAGATGGATGTAAGTCATTTGTTGGAGTATCCACGTGAAAATGATGAATGTATCGCGGCACAAACGTTAGAAGAAATTGTGGCTAATATCATTGGGGTTCAATTGAAGGAGATGACGATTCAAAACCTTTGGAACCGGTCACGCGAAAGGAAGCACTTAAAATCGCATCGACTCTTCAAAAATACTTGATGCAATTAGAGAAGATAACACCGGAGACTTTGAGTGCAATGAGGGACGTTCAAGATGAATTTTTATTAGACTTGAACTTAAAAAAAAAAACAAAAAAAACTATATATTCATATTTTCTAGATTATCCTAGCTATATTATAAATTCCTAGATAAATTGTATTTTTACAACTATTAATTTATAGAGTTAAAAATACATCTGTTTATTTAGGTTGGTTCTAAAAATTATTAGTTTATTTAAACAATCATCATATTTAAATACAACATTTAACACAACATCCAAAATTACATAGTAGAATCCAACAAATAATATAAAACATCTAAATATTCAAACATGAATCAAACAAATAACATCAATTTCTACTTTTCAAATTCAAAAAATAAGTGATTTTTAATTAATTTCTCCAAAATAACCTCATTTTATTTAAAAATAAAAATCGATCATACCGATCTTATTATAGACTTACAGTTATAATCGGTACCGGTTGAACCTAGTTCTACCAACCGATGATGACAACCACGGTTTTATGAATGCGCGTGTGCCTCTCTCTCTCCGTTAGTGGGATGGGCGGCGTGGGGTATTTTCTTTTGCTTTTTGTTTTTGAATTTACCCAGGAGGCCAGGACAGAGTGAGCACAGATAGAATCAACCCCAAAATCGTTCCACCTCTCTCTCTGGCAGTAAAAAATTGGGGAAATGTTATTTGAAATCGAGGGGAGAAGAAGCAAGCAAGGGAGATAGTTGGCGAGACACAGCACACTAACTCTAATGGCGTCCTCCGCTGCCAGCAGAAATGGCGCTCCCAGAGGAGGCGGCGGCGCCAGGTCCCTCGCTGGCGGCAATCTAAGGTCATCTTCCTACAAATCAAGGCCCTCTCAGCTGCCAGGATCCACTCTCCGCCGCAGCAGCACTGGTTCCTTCGCGGCCGCCGGAGATGATGGCGGTTCGTTCCTTCCTTTTTCTTCATTCTCTGGTTACGAATTTGCTCAGCAGATTGCTTCAACTTTGCGTATTTGCTTGCAATTTGGAATGAACAACAACTGCCTCCTTCCCTCTCTTCTTCTCTCTCGCTTGTCGATCTACGACCAATCCTTCCCTAGCCCCATTTGTTAGTCCTTTGCAGTCGTAATTCACTGGGGTACGGCATTACTTGGCTAGAATTGGTGATAATTGTAAATGCTTTATTCAGCAGTACCGGGAAGAGTTCGAGTGGCTGTGAGGTTGCGGCCAAGGAATGCCGAGGAGATGGTAGCTGATGCTGACTTTGCTGATTGCGTGGAAGTCCAGCCAGAGGTGAGGTGGTTCCATCTCTTCTCTTCCTCCACCATTCCTCATTTGATCTCTAACTTACCTCTGCTCTCTCTTTCGTCCTCTTCCGTCTACCACAGTTGAAAAGGTTGAAACTGAGGAAGAACAATTGGGACTCAGACACGTACGAGTTTGACGAGGTCCTTACTGAATTCGCATCCCAGAAGCGGGTCTATGAAGTCGTTGCAAAGCCTGTTGTCGAGGTATCTTCGCGGTGATTGCTTTTCTTATTATCGTTTCCATTATGCTATGATGCTCTCGGGCTTTTTCTGTTCAATTGACATGCTTGCTTTTTCTCCCTTATTAGAGCGTCCTGGATGGTTACAATGGGACTGTCATGGCCTACGGACAGACTGGCACAGGGAAGACGTTCACTGTTGGACACCTTGGAGATGGCGACACAGCTTCTCGTGGGATCATGGTTCGTGCAATGGAGGATATTCTGGCAGACGTTGCTCCAGAGACTGACTCCGTCTCTGTCTCATACTTGCAGGTTAGGATTTCGCCTAAATGGTGATTCTGTCTTTGTTTGAATCCTTCATACCCATTGTCGCCTCACCCTTCTTTCTTTTCTCATAGCTTTACATGGAGGCAATCCAGGACCTCCTCGATCCCACAAATGATAATATTTCCATTGTAGAAGATCCTAAAACTGGCGATGTTTCGCTTCCTGGGGCTACTCTTTTAGAAATCAGAGACCAGCAGAGTTTTGTGGAGCTTCTAAGCATAGGGGAAGCTCATAGAATTGCTGCCAACACAAAGTTGAATACTGAATCTTCTCGCAGTCATGCCATTCTGATGGTTAACAATCCCATCTCTTTTTTTCCTTTTTTTTTGTAATCTTGCCTGCTTCTTTCTTTTACTTGAGTGTCATTGTCGTCTTTGCATCTTCTCGGCAGGTTCATGTTAAAAGGTCAGTTGTGAGTCAGGATGATACTCTTTCAATTGAAAATGGTAACTCTTCTCACTTTGTGAAACCTTTAAGGCCACTCATCCGGAAGAGCAAATTGGTTCTAGTTGATCTGGCAGGCTCAGAGCGTGTTCACAAGTCAGGTCGGTTGTGTATTGGAGTTAATGACTATTGAACTATTACATGAAGTTGCTTCTAGTTTTTCAAAAAAGGTGCTACACTGTTCGTGTGTTTTTTCAACTGATCTGGAGGATAAATATGGTCCAGTCATAAGTCGTGAGCTCTAAATCCATGATCTTTTGATGCAAGGGAATAGTCTTGACTGTTTGTTGTTACGTTTGAAGTATTGACTTTTTCATTTCATGACAGGAAGTGAGGGGCATATGTTAGAGGAAGCCAAATCTATCAATCTCTCACTGAGTGCACTAGGGAAATGCATAAATGCACTAGCAGAGAATTGTGCGCATGTACCAGTTCGTGATTCAAAACTTACAAGGTTGCTGAAGGATTCATTTGGAGGTTAGTGCCTTCTTTGTTTGAGAGAATGGTGTGCGCCTATGCTTCTATGTCATGACTACCATTCACAGCGAAAACCTAATCCAGATGTGTCTATCAGAAAATACTTTCTGACTCACAGTTTTTATGGGCAATGAATTTCTTAGGAGCGTGATATGCTTTGAAGGACGCTAAGAAATTTGGGTGTCTCAACTATTCATTCTGTTCTTTTGACTTCATAAGTGTTGCTGATCATCTTTATTGATAACAACATCATATCGCAGGCACAGCTAGAACCTCGTTAATTGTCACAATCGGCCCTTCCCCACGCCATCGAGGAGAGACTGCAAGTACCATACAATTTGGGCAAAGGGTAATTTTCTTGATTATTCAGATTATCTTTATGTATTCGTTTTCAGTGTCTTAAGGAAGTCGTGTATGTATCTCTCTGCTTCCTTGAATCCTCCTTTTTGCTGTTCTAATTTTTACCATTGTCAACAATTCGACATGTTAGATTTAAGCCATTGCATCATTGACTAACTTCTGTACCATGCTTGTCACTCGGATCTCTTCACAGGCTATGAAGGTGGAAAATATGTTGAAAATAAAGGAGGAATTTGATTATAAGAGTCTGTCCAGAAAGCTTGAGATACAAGTGGACAAGCTTATTGCAGAGAATGAAAGGCAGCAGAAAGCTTATGAATATGAACTCGAACGAATGAATCAAGAAGCTCAAAATCGTATTGCTGAGGTTGAAAGGAATTTCGCTGAAGCATTAGAGGTTGGTTGAAGTATAAGCATTGTTTGAGGGAGAATACTTATCATATTTCACTGAGAATATGTTGTATGAACAATTTTCTTGTTATGCAAGGGTCATTCTGCGTCATTTGTGCCAAGTAGCTAGCATGGTATTTGTCAAAGGTGGTAGTCTAGTACTGACGAGCTGATGAGATTGTTAGAATGAAGAATGGGCATGGCTGTTAATTGGATTTCAGAAAGATGGTTGTGCTATTTATACTTGGAAATAAAGAGAGCAAAATGCACCAGCAACTGGAAAGCACTAATAAGACTTATCATTAAACTGATGACTCTCTCTAGCTGATCCTTGTAGATGTATCTTTTCCATTTGTTTTCATTTGGACATTTGCTCACTTAACTCTACTGTTTGTAGAAGGAAAGGCTCAAATGCCAGATGGAATATATGGAATCAGTGAAGAAATTGGAGGAAAAAATGCTGACTAATCAACGAAAGCATGGCAGTGATGGCATCATAAGAAATGAATGCAATGGGGAGGTAACGCTTTTGTATTTTTCTTTTCCTTAGTACTTGCTGTTTGCGGAAAGAACTTGCTAGGAGTCATTTAGGCAAACTTGAGGGGAAGGAATGTTTTTACAAATCCTAGAGTGAGCACTGCTACATTATCATGACCGGCGATAGTGGTCTCAACAGTTCTAGCAGTTTAACTTCTATATTATATGTGACTGTCATATGATTGATACAACTTGCCATTTTCTAGATGCAAGTCTTACGATATACAGCATTTTAATCATGCCAACAATTTTTATGAATTTGGGGTTCTTGTTTGTAGACTTTTTAATTGTTCTACCCTAAGAGAACCCATCCGTGGTTCCAAAAGTCAGGTAGGATATGAACTCAAACATGTGTCATGGAGCTGGTTATTAAATTCCAGGCACACGACTAGATCCCCGACTAGGGTAAATAAATATTACAGAGCTATTCCATGTTGATAGTACCTTCTGTATTTGCTTCACACAAATGAGTAATAAATTTGCAGGATCAGGTTGTTTCGGTTTCTGACGAGGTTGCCGAAGTAAGAAAATTGCTCCAGAATGAAACTCAACGAAGAAAGGCATCTGAAGAGGAAGTCAACAAACTTAATACTCGGATGGGTCAATTGATGCAGTCTGAGGTGTGAACTTTTTGCAGTTTATCAAGGATTTTATTTTCCTATGGAATCTGTCACTATCTTACCCCTGGTTTAGCATTAGCATTAATGAACTCTCTTTTTTTTCCCGAGTGCATCAACTCTGCTTTTCTTCAAGGATAAGATGATTTGCATGAATTTATAATTTTTTTCTTATGTTCTAGGCAGGTGGAGATGGAGAGATATTAAGAATTCACCAACTTCTGGAGGTCGAAACTCAGAAGAAGAAAAAGCTGGAGGAAGAAGTTATGATTTTAAAAAGTCAGTTATTACAGCTGAGTTATGAAGCTGATCAGGTACTCTATGCTTGATGTTAGGATGTTGAGAAGTAATCATGGCGCAGTCCTACTTTCTGAGGGTGCTTATGTTTTCATTCATAAATTTTCTTGAAGTGGCTTGTGATTTGAGTTATAGCTTAATATTTCTCCCTCGTTAGTTTTCACTCAAAGTGTGTTTCTATAAATTTGCAAGTCCTAACTACTGACTGTGTTTTATTTATATCTATAGTCAAGAAGGTATATGGAGAGAGTTGGATCGGGGAATGGTCTCAATGGAACGGATTCTCCATCAGTAAATAACGGAGAGAAAGCACCAGTTGGCACACTTTTTGAACAAGGTAAAAACTTGTGTCGCTCGCGTGAACTGCCATCCTCCAGAATAGCAGGCATACGACATCTAATTGTTCTTCCAAATTTGATTTGGCAGTTGGGCTGCATCAGATATTGTCCTATCTGGAGTCAGAGGATGCTAACGTTCAAATTCATGCAGTAAAAGTGTTGGCCAATTTAGCTGCTGAAGGTTTGTTACCTGCCCACCTTTTATCCTCCAACATTTCCTTAGAAAGCAATTTATGTTGATATCTGCCACATGTATAGCTGCTGATTTATGTTTCCTTTACAGAAGCGAATCAGGAGAAGATAGTTGAAGCCGGTGGTCTTACCTCCTTGTTGATGCTTCTTAGAAAATTTGAGGATGAAACCGTTCGCAGAGTGGCTGCCGGTGCAATTGCCAATCTTGCGATGAACGGCAAGTCCTCTCAACTTTTTAGCTTATTAGTAATTAATATCAAATTCTCCCCATCTAAATGTGTATTTTGACTTTGCTTGTTTGCAGAGACTAATCAAGAGCTCATTATGACTCAAGGAGGTATCACTTTGCTAACCATGACAGCAGCTGATGCTGAGGATCCGCAAACTCTTCGTATGGTTGCTGGCGCTATTGCAAATCTCTGTGGCAATGGTACATATTTTCATCCATATACCTTTCTGAGACTTCTATTGAACCTCATAGCCTTGTACAGAACCTTATAGATGAAATGTACATTTTAGTTTCCGTGGTTTAAACTTTATTAATGGGATTCCTGGTGATATCCAGATAAGTTGCAAATGAAGCTGAAGTCTGAAGGAGGGATAAAGGCCCTGTTAGGAATGGTGAGATGTGGGCATGCTGATGTTCTCTCACAAGTTGCAAGAGGCATAGCTAACTTTGCAAAATGTGAATCCCGTGCAGCTACTCAAGGTAGATCCCACCTTACTCAAAGTAGAAACTGAATGTTGCAGGCGAACTGCTTCGTGTATCTAGTAAAACGTTGGTTGTTGTCATTGTCAAACGTGCGACAGGAACGAAGAATGGAAGATCACTTCTCATAGACGACGGAGCGCTTCCTTGGATTGTACAGAATGCCAATAATGAAGCAGCTCCAATCAGACGCCATATCGAACTTGCACTATGTCACCTTGCACAACACGGTAACGATTCCTAGTTCCATGCCTCTCTCGCACTCTTCTCTCACACACTGGTTTGAAACCCGACGTATCATGTGCTTCCTTGAAAAAATGTAGAGGTGAATGCGAAGGAGATGATCAGTGGAGGAGCATTATGGGAGCTAGTACGCATTTCGCACGACTGTTCCAGGGAGGACATAAGAAGTCTTGCGAGACGGACGTTGAACTCGAGCCCCACATTTCGATCGGAGATGCGGCGGCTGAGGATAGACTAAGGATCCAGACACCATACGCCGAGCTGGTAACTTTATTAAATGAGATGGAAAACAGTTTTGTAGGTTGGAGAGTCGGAACTTGTGATGTCTGTTTGTACTGTTGGGACTCACTCCGTCCTATTGTTTTCCTTCTGGGTAGTCGGTAAATTGATTATTTGGTATAGCAATGAAAATCTGTAAGTCCACTTATTTATTTATAGACAGTAAAAATGTGATAGTCTACACTAATCGATCAAAGAGTCTTTTTATCAAGAAAGAATTGACTTTTAGTCAATTCGGGTGAGTTTTCTTTTATATGGTCTTGGGCCGAGAGTAGAAGAAAGTGGGATGCGTCTGCATGGATAAATTCAGTTCAAGATGGCCTGTGTTATGAAGAAGATGGGCTTGGAGAAAAGGGAGATGAGTATGCTAGCTTGGAAGCTGGGCTTTTAAGAGAATATGGCCCAATAGCCCTTAGAGAAACATCAAACATGGCATGTTTATGGGCTAGCTTCGAGAGGGATGTTTGATGGTCTTGATGAGTTCGTACTCAAGGATGAGTTGTTGAACAAGAGTGAACCCGTGAGTTCTTGGGGTTGCTGGAGGATGATAACAACGGAGGAGGCTTATTTGGAGTTTGAATACTTCAAGGACGTTAAGGTTGGTTGGGTCATCATGAATGAAATTTGAAGAGTGAGATCAGTACACGAAGATCGGTTCAAGAAGCCCAATACAAGAGGTGGAGCTGGATAGAAAAAAGGAATTGCAGGAAATGGATGAGACAAAGCGCGAAGTGGGCCTAGTCGATCAATCTTGAGGAAAAGGTTGGTCTTGGGGGGGGGGGGATTTCAGCTTCTATCATTGTTACTATTATTAGGATTTTATTATATATGGTTAGTAGTCTTTGAGTCATTTTAGGATAGTCTATTAGGTTTTTCCAGTCTTTAACTATAAATATGTACTTTGGGTCTTTTGTTCGATTAAGCAGTGTTTAATAAGAAACAATTATCTTCCCCAAATCCCTAATTGTTAGAATAACAGATCACAAAGAAACAATTATATATTAACTGTATTAGTGGGGTCTCTCTCATTAAGCAATAACATATCACTATTTTCCCTAAACCTAATCTCTCTTTTCCTACCAATCCCGAGCTCTCTCTCTCCCTAGCTTTTGCCGTCGGCCTCCTCCCCTGGAGGATCTATCTCTTTCTTCTTCCTCAAGTTTCGTTCCCCAAATCCTTAATTCCTATCTCAATTCCCAACTCCCTATCAAATCCTCGTTATACGAACCCTAGGCGTACTCGCCTAGATTCGTGTTTCTTACACTAATCTTCTCCTCTCAATCTCGTTTCTCCTTCTCTCTAAAGGCTTCGGCCGTACTATATGTGCTTCCTCAATTCTATCTCTCAATTCCTAATTATATCTCCAATTCTCCTAAACCCCAATTATCTATCAATTCCAAGGTTGTCAATCCGCGGGTCGACCTAATTTGACCCTGATTAGGTGAGAAAAACGGGCCGCACGCACTCGCCGGGTCGACCGCTACAAGGTACCGGGTTGGAGTTCAAATTGTGTCATTTTTTTCTTTGGTTTGCGGAATGCGCCTATTTTTCGATTTTTCAGGATAAGTACAATATAATGAGATTTGATATAATGAGATTTTTCAGGATAACTCAATCCTTGGAATCCATACGTTAGATGAGATTTGATATAATTTATCAGGATAAGTACAATATAATGACTCTTTTCATATTTCCAGGCAAAATCGAGTGACCCATTAACCCTTAACCCACTAGCTCGACCGGGTCCGAGTCAGCCTACTGATTAACAACCTTGATCAATTCCCAATCTCACAAACACAACAACCGTTAGGAACACTAGAAAAACATTTCTAACAGCAAGGGAGAGGCTCGTGCAGGAGAGATCTCACATTCATGTTGGAAAGGGAGGGCTCTGCCTGTGTAGAGGACCTTGCTCGTCCACTAGTTGAGTGTGTTTGTAATCCACACAGTAGGAGGACGATCATCCAAACTATGGACCATATCCATCTTGTGTCAACCTGCCTGCCGTGGCAATCCAGTCCATTCTACTGGATCTTGATGCAAGAGAAGAGACAGACGCCATTCATTCAATCAGAATTTCGTAGCTTAATCTTAAACATGATTTTGTTGACCAAAACATACACACAAGATATCGTTCTAGCAGAGCCTCGAGACGTATCGAGATAAACATGCAGAAAAGGAAGCACCATCGACGAAGCAGATCATTCCACAAGGAGATTATTGTAGGAGCAGCATAAGCTTACCTAAGAGTGTTGGAGCAACAGAAATGGCCAAACCAAGGTTAAGGAAATAAACAACAAAAGAGAAAGGATTAAACTAGCATTACAACATCAATCAAAAACTCCTCCTGCTATCAATTAATTTTGCATCCAAACCTACCCGAGTAACTACAGACAAGCATTGGCCACATCCCGCCTAAACTCTTCCTTACACTACCCATCCCCATCTACCATATAATATTCGGTCCCCGAAACAATAACAAGAAATTGTATTCTGCAAGCAGTTACCAAAGTGAGAAATTTTCCGCGCAAATCAGCAAGAACGAAGCAATACTGGACCAACCCACGAGCTCAGCATATCACTCAGAGCCACCTGGACCTCGTTCGACCCATGCTCACAACTGATCAAGCTCCAGAGAAGCGGGAAGAAACCAGTCAGGTTCCTCTCGAACGAAGTCTCTCCCAGGCTACATATGGCCTGGAGAGTCGCAACAACAAGGGGTGCACGGGAAGCTAACTCCCTCCTTTTCCCCGACCCCAGAGGTATGATAAGGGACCGAGGCTGAGGTTCGTTTGGAGAGGATGATGCTGATGGAGGCGGGCGTCCTGAACCATGGGATGTGATGATGTAAAACTGAAGCACCTCGTGACAAAGGCTGACCATGCAGGATTCCACTTCCGACTCGTCATAACTCGGCGGCCTGTCCAGTATGAGATTCTGCAAGAACGTCAGGCATATTTGGAAAGACTCATTCTCCAGCCGCAATAGCGGAGGGTCTTGCATTTGAGTGATGGAGCTGAATTCCTGCAGCCTTGACCGCAGCTGGGAGTCCGTGTTAATCTTGTGAGCATGGGATGCCACGTCATGCAAGGCATCGTACAGGACAAGTGTGTTTTTCGCTGAAAGTTGAGGCCTATACATGTTGTAAACTTCCATCACCGCCTGCAAAACCACAGATAAGATAAAGAGTCCCAACGATGCGCCAATAAACAGCTAAGATATGTATATGCAGAAGCTCTCCTCCCAGGAAATGATTCACATAAATGCAAGTCAGGCTGGAGAATGAGTAGCAGTAGGTCTATCACAGAAACAAGAATATTCGCGATATAATTATTTGGATTCATTTGTCGGTTTATCATTGTTTATGAATTTGCTGGGAATGATTTGGATTATTTTTAATTTTGTTAGGAAGGAGTAGTTTGGGTAGTTGTAGGGAATTATCAGGATATATATTAATTAATTAAAGACGCAAGTAATTAAAAAGTTGGAACACTGTTCCTTACGAAAATGTCGCTTACAATTTCACTGTTCACAAGGATAATATTACCTGTAGGCATGTCCATTATAATTTGCCGTAAACCATTGGAAGTTGGGAGGCCAAACAATTTCTTTATTTAGATTAGCAAATATAAATATAAAACCATTGGAAGTTGGGAGGCCAAACAATTTCTTTATTTAGATTAGCAAATATAAATATAATATTTTATTCAAATGTAATATTTTTTTGTCACTTGATTGTATTATTAGATCACACATTGCGAAATATTTGTGTAACACTAACAGTTCGATACATTGATTATGTTATTAGATCACACATTACAAAATATTTATTTAACACGATACATTAATATTTACGTAAAATTTATGGAGAGAGATATTCCTTATGTATCAATTAAATTGTTATATTATAGTTACGTGCATTACAAATGTATTACGTAAAACTTATGGAGAGTTAGATATTTCTTATATATCAATTAAACAAACGTATTAGGTCTGAATTACACTTCAATTATTTTGACATTTTAATCAAATGTAATTTTTCCTACCTTGATTTTATTATTAGATACTATATTATGAAATATTTACGTAACATTATTCTACACCTTTTAAAATGTTTTGCAATATTAGTTATTTTTAAACATACGTAGTACTTTTTGTAATTTTTTTTGTTAGACTACACATTACGAAATATTTATGTAACACTGTTGTATAACATTTAAGTACATTAATATGTAACACGTAGTGCTTTCTGTAAATTATTTTTTCTTAGATCGCACATTATGAAATATTTATGTAACACTTTTCTATAACAGTTAAGTACATTAAAATGCAATATGTAAAGCTTATGGAGATATATTATTAGATCACCCATTATTAAATGTTTATGTAACACTATTCTATAACTTTTTAAATGTTTGCTATTTTTTAGGTAATTATATTTAATTATAATTTATTTTCTTAAATTTGATTTTATCATTAGACCACACATTATAAATGATTTATGTAACTATATTCTATACAGTTCTTAATCTCCTACATCCAATTTACCATAAGCTTTTGATTAGTTAACTTTCACATAACAATTTATCATATGTTACTTTCTAAACTTTTATTTTTATTATTATACCACATATTACGAAAGATTTATGTAATAACGTTCTATACTTATATATGAATTTTCTTAATGATTTAAACAATGCATAAAGTTTATGGACAATAATCATTTTATATTTGTTAATTAAAAGAAATAATATGTAAGTTTTCCATAATGAACTGATCATGAAAAGATAAGATGAACAGATCATGAATCAACCCCACACAACAAATATCACTGTTCGTGTCCTGAGCTAGATGGTACTAACAGTTTTCCATAATGATTAAACACTATGTAAACCGTATGTAGAAATAGTTGACTTAAACCAACAGATGACATATGTTATCATAATTATTAAGACATTACGTGAACCTCACATATGTATCTTATCTAAATAATTTTGCGAATTATTTGATTTAAACTAAATCATTAGTTTCTTACCGCGGCGAAGCGCGGGCCAAAAAACTAGTATTCTTAAAGTGTGAATTATGGGGGCAGGGTTAATCAGAATAATCAATTCCTAAACCTACCTCTCTTCCTTCCCAAATTCCTATTCCCAAAACCTTTCTCTAATCCCATGTTGATCGATCCCTAATTGATCTACCTAATCCAAATCAATGGTAATAATCCGAGAACACATAGATCCTTGTTTCTATCAGCCTACCATTCGGATATGCAATTAGAAGAGACCATATGCAAAATCACAATTTTATTTGGAAGAAATTAAGAGTAATCACTTTATGAATAAATAAAGAATGATATAACTTATTTAAGAGATGAAGGCTCACAATAAGTCCAGGTGCATTCTTAATAGAGGAGTCGAAATAGCATGAATACGAGTAAACATTAAAGAGAATTGAGATAGAAAAGGTCAAGCTGGGATTGGATGGAATACTCGGAGAATGTGAAGCAGGATTTTGATTGGGACAGGTTAGAGCACTCAGGTGAAATGCAATCCATTCATATGGATAACACCGTACTCCCAAGAACAAATATATTGATAGAACTCACAAGAACATATTATGAAGATAGAAGGAAAGAACTTACCTGAATCAACAAAAGTTGGACAGCAGCACGGCACTTTGCATCAGATATTGCAGCATAAAGACGTGTCATCAATCTCTCATGAACATCTGCAGATTCTCCATTTTCTACATTGCTTTGCTCAGTTAAACCAGCATGTTTGTAGCTGTGCACCGCAGGCTCTCCGCTTACTAGAAAAGAGAAATCAGGAAGTGTTGCATTGGCTGCTTCTCTAAGAGAGAGCACCACTTCTAGCCACTTGTCGTCAGAGAACAGATCACCAGCATTACTCATCAACCGCACAAAGGCAGCAATGCCAATACCAGCAAGACTCTGGTGTGGCCGTCTAATAAAACTGACCAATAGCTTCAAAACCTTCCTCAATAGTGGGTTGACAGTGCTGTAGAACTTGACAAAAAGATCTACAACCAGCTGCAGGGCCAATGTGCAAGTCTCATAGAGCCATGCATCTTGGTCAAGCTCCCCAGTATCACCATCGATACCTTGTCCAGGAGAGTCACCCCCTGTTGGATCGATTGCATGCCGCACATAGTCAAATATTGGGAATAAGACTGACTCAAACACTCGTTCCCATAAAGGTAGAGAGAAAAGGTGACCGTGATTGCGTAAAGTATCAAACAACACTTGCAAGGCACTCTTCCTGATTTCGGGCCTAGGATCAAAGCTAAGTTCTGACAGGCCTGCACAAATATAAGCCAGATGGAAATTAACAAGGTTCATTGGAATGTCATTTAAAATAACTTCTTGATTACAAAGCATTCCATACGTAAATCTCACCTGCCAGTAAAGGGAACCAAAAGTAGAGATGATTCTCCCTATCATCAATATACCCATTATCTTGCTTTCCATCTTTGCCTGCATGATGAGGAGAAGACGGAGAGAGTCTTGACAAAGGTTCCTTTTCATTATTCCTTGATGAAGAAGCAAGGTCTCCTCCAGCAAGTTTGGTAGCACAGAATCGAAGAAAAGCAATTGCATTGAGGCTGATATCTTTGTTAAACCGGCTATTGGTAAAAGCAATAAGGCAATTCACACAATCCGTGAAGGTAGTCGTCTCAGTTTCAGTAATATAAGGGAAGTAGTCACGAATGATCTTCTCCATTATCTCAAAAGCCAACAGAACAATGTTTTTGTGGTCATCATAAGCTGCTGTTGTGAAAACCTGAAAAATGGCCATGAATGTCGTTGTCAATACAACATGCAGAAGTAAGGTTTGGATAATAACCTATATGCCAAGGTAGATTCGATTGAATGTTGAAACCAAAGGAAATGGTAGATTTTTAATACCATGAACATGCTCTTCCAGCCTGACTTGACATTATTGACCCGAGACAAAACCATTTGGGATACACATCTGACAATCAGTTCTCTTATCTCAACAGCACTGCTCTTACGCATGACAATGACAAAAGGCTTCATGAATTCGTTCTGGAAATTGTAGTTAGCCAACTCTTCACGCTCCAGGAATTTCATTGACAACTGGCGCAAAGAGTCCATTGCAAAAATGGAAATGGAGAGGTTCTCAGAACAGCCAATGGTTACAAAGAAATCAGAGAGCACATGCCAGATGCTTGACCATACAAGCCTGATGCGGTTCATGTTATAATGCCTGTGATCAAAAGCTCAGTTACATCAGCAAACAGCTGCATATATATACACACACCAGGCAATCATTGAAGAAGAAAGAAGTAGCCAGGAAGGAGACAACGTATAGAAAAGATTCTTACGCAATCTCAACAATCTTCGTAAGGCTAAACACCCGGGGATCAGAAGCAGAACGCAACTCCTCCATGGATACCTTGCAAAGAGCTTTCACGAAATCAATGATGGCCTCACTGTTCAACTTTTGGCTGCGTGTGAATATGCGATTCATTTCAGAGCTCCCAACTTGTTCTAACATATTCAGATTAGAGACCAAACTGTTCATTTGGTCAGACGTTACACCCCCAGAAGCATTCCCACCAATACCAGCACTGTCATATGAACCTCTCAGGACAGCAGCAGCAGCATACTGCATTCTTCCAGGGCCCTTCTTCTTCAGAACAGGAAGGACATTTGACTTGGCAGGTTTTGACTTTTCAGACTCATTCTGAGGAAAGGCAAAAAATGTTGCATCTGGAGGAGCACCCTCTCCCAAAAGATGGAGATGTTCAAAGCGAGAAACACATGTTAAAATATGCTCCCAGGCTTCCTGTAAATAGTTTCCATCTTCATCTGCAATTGCAACCAATGCCTGCCAAATACAAGTAAACATAAAAGAAAAAACATAAACAATCATTAATCAAATGAACAATCAGTTCAGAACAATTACTTTCACGGAAAAACAAATGATATCCTGAATTAAAGGTTTCACCACTAAGTAAGGATATAAAAAATATAAACTAGCCCAAACCATATTGGAAACAATTTATCCACTCAAGCACATGATAATCATAGGTTCATAGAGAAAGTAATCCACTCAAAGAGAACATTTAATTCAATAGATAACTTGGATCAATGTATGTAACAAAATAAAAGTTCCCTTTGGGACAGCCAACCTTGATTGCCTCAACATTTTTCTGTTTGATGTCTGCGGGAGAGTGAAGGGAAGTAAACTTTGCTAATGAAGTGACAAATGCATCTCTGTGAGTCTTCATGGACATTACAGCAGTAACATGGATAGCACAGCGGAAACCTTCAAGACAAAGACCTATCACCACTTCATCATCACTTTGGTCAAGAGGCACACTGAAGGCAGCTAACATGGGAGCCCAGCATACCTCAACCATGAAACGAAGGATAACTACATCTGTAGCTGCATAATAAACTGACCTACAATATAACCAGCAACAAACAAAGATGAGACACATATCACAGCTATCTCCCAACACTAGATTCACAACACAATAGTGCATTAGGAATAAACAAAATTCATAGAAGAAATTATGTGCTGTTCACACAAGGAAAGATTAAAGAAATACGATAGGCTCTCTGCAAGATATTTGTAAATGTTATACTGCCTAATAAGTATTCAAAACACAAATAAAATCAGAGATGTTAACTGCCAAAACTTTACCGCACAGATATGTGGAGTGATCAATAGACACACAAGTAGAGCAACTGTTTCCTTTAATAGTTTGCCAATGTCATACTCACAGCTAAACAAAGAACTTCCAGAAAATAGCCAAACACACAAGTGCTTACTCTGATTTGCGGGCTTTTTCTTTAAATTGTTCTTGCATATGCCTGATGAGATCATCACTAGTCTCCATGCGTATGTCCTCACCTCTTTTACGAACTACAATGTTCAAAATATTATCCAAGCCTAAAATTCTGTTAGAGTTGGTAGACTGTCTTTGTTGGGCATCAAAACCATCCTCTTTCATTTTTATCTCATTTTTCGATATCCTTGCATACAATGACCTCAAGTATTCCTCGGGGAGATCTTTTCCATCATCAATGCCACGATTATTTCTGATAAAATCATCTGCAGACATCTGCACGGATAAGGAAAAGAAAGCTCAGACAACGTTATCGAAACAGCACAAGATAACTCTCCGCCCTATATAATTATATATAAAAGGACCTACCTTATTTTTCACCATAGGATTGTGAGCATCAGTATTGAGCAATATGACCGAGTAAGCAAGAACGTAGGCTGTATCAGCACTAATGAAAACCTTTGGGTTGCACTTGCAGTAACGCTCAGCAAACTTTTCCATGATTCTGTCAATTTTCTGTGCTTCACCAGGTAGCCTGAAGCCCTGTAGAAAGGCCCTTATAGCTTCATCAAACTCCATGCCTTGAAACTCAAAAGAATTTACATAGGCATGCATGACTTTCAGCGGCAAATCTTCCCTCTCTCCTAGATAATCACCAATGAGAGTCTTGTTCAAGCCAGAAGCATTTTTTAGAAAAACTGCAATCTCCTCTGGCGAGTCTCCAACTTTATTGGCATTGATAAGAAATTCAATCCCCTTCTTTGGTTTCCGATTGAAAAGAGAAATACCTTCCTGCCACAAATTGCAAATTAGACTCCATTGGTAGCAGAACACATTGATATACACAAAGTTAAGAAGGTACTACAAGCTATGTACTTCCTACCTGAAGTTCCAGTTTGTAAGCCCTGCGTTGCTCAATGGACGAAACGTCAGAAGCTTCTGTCGATGCTTCAGACTGAGAATCTGATCCTTCAGCTGGCTCTTCCCCGTTTCCGTTGACCATGGAAAGACTTTCACTTTCAGGACTATTCTCAACTACATCAAATTTCCTGGCAGAACTAGGATCTGGAATGCGTAACTGTTTGTTTACCCAATCTCCCATTGATTTCAAAACAGCCACCAGGCACTTCATGGCCTCAAGTTTCAGAGTCACTTCCTGAGGCGGCATAAGTGATGTTGCAGTACCAGGAGGTACCCCTTGTGCAGTTTTAAGAAGTCCATTGACCATTCTGCAAAAGCAAGCGATCAATATTAAGTTTACCCAACCAGATATTTACAGAAAAACTTCAAATTCAGAGCTATGAAGGAACAAATTAACATACCTCTCGAATATATTTGACGAATTGACATCACAATCATAGTTAATAAAGATGTCCACCAGGATCTGTGAATCCACACAGAGCTTTTCAATGAAACGAAGCACAATCATCTTCTGCTGGAAGTTAGGTTGTGCAACATTTTCAAGAACCCTGAGCACTATCATCGGGAAAAAAACACCAATTTCTGCTTTCAATCCTGCCCTAAACCTCGACACAAGACTCACAAAAATAGAGCAAGAAAGTTGGAAAACGATCATGAGACTTGAAGCGCTGTTCTTCAGTAATGATAAGCATAAGTATTGCTTGATGGCACCTAAGAACCTGTATTGCATTAAGGATACGACACAAGTCAGAAACTTATTTCCCATGAAGTTCTTATAGGAATCTCAGTAAATGGATAACAAATCCAGACCGAAAAAACTGACAAAATCATAATCCGATTATTGATATGGATTGACACTTATCAGGAAACTCCTAACTAAAATAGGAAGTAACTCACCTTAATAGTCATACAGACTGAAATCCAAACAAAAATTGTAATGGAATTCACAACTAATAGAAGAAAGAAGCAGATGCAGCAATTTTGTGAAGCTAGAATTTGTACACTAGAATTAATCAAGATTTATAGTATTGATAATTCCCTATATTTATCTTAGAGTGACCAGCTTTCGAGAGCTATAAAATTTGCTTCACGTCGACACTAAGCAGAGAATAGAAATCACATCTAAGAAAGTGAACAAGGTCAATAAGGATTGACACAAATAGTATTAAATATCCAAGGTGCCTGAACTTTGCAGTTGCTCTATGATTGCCATCATCAAGTACAAGGAGAATAGCAGTGAACCAGCCACAATGTCAATTCACTGTTAGGAGGGCAAACTCAAGGGCTTTACAATATCTCTGTAATTGCCCTCCCAAACTTGACAAGCTCCCTTGAAACAGAGATGGAAGCTCAAACTTTGTGCATACCCGAAGGGTTGTTATAGAGGTAAGGTGCAGACAAACGCATCTAACCAACATTCAGCTGCATAAGTACTATATAGGTGAAAAGACAAGGCTCTAAATGTATTAGCCAGTTGCATTCCGCCACCATCAGTTCTTAACTGAATTGACAACATTTGAACCAACGTCAAGATACTTTGTAGCGTTGAGGAAGTCTAATCAGCCGAACAAAAAACCTGATAGGCAATAATCCACTTGTTGGTGGAGGTCTAAGTGCGTGGAACCTTAGCATGAGTCTATCGAAAATAGACTTAGAAGTTACAAGAAACAATTCAAATAAGTAGACTCTGATTAATTTCTATAGAATTAAAATCAACTTTGGATAGTAATCCAGCAAGGGCTTCCACCAGCTTAATCAGCTTAGGAGCGTATTGTTCCAAGGATGTAAGACATAACAAAAACCCTACATCTTCAATCTCCAGCAAAACCCAAACTTCCAACAAACACCACCCTAAGACACTATCAGAGTGCAGCTTAATCCTCTGAGTATGTGCATTCAAGTGATTGTAGTTAATAAGCTGTTAGAAGAAAACACAGCAAGCATTTGAGAGAATCCACGTGAACACATGTGAGAACAGAAACAGAGAAAGCTACCTGTCACTGGTCCTAAAAACAGCCCCAGCATTCTCCAATAAGATCTTCAACAACTCCAAGGCCACAATTTTCCCTCTCATCAACTGGGGATCCGCTGATGCCTCCTTTGGAGGTGTTTTCATGGACAACTTACAGAGTGCTCTAAATACCAAGAAGGCATCTCTCCTTAATTTATTACCAATCTGAATCTCTAAATCGTCGTCTCTTTCCACTTCCCCGTCTGCCAATTCCCCTTTCCTACCTTCCAACGCCGTCTTGTACATACTAATCTCCCAGTACTTGGCGTCTAGCATATCCTTATCCGTGGAATCTAACAAATCTGCCGGGTTGGTGGTCTCGACCGTTGTAGTCTCAAATGCCCCATCGTGTCCTCCTAATGTAATCTTACTGGGTGCGCCAGCGTTCAAAACTCCGTCAAAATCTTGCATGATTTTGGTGATGAAACCCTGCACAAACATCGTCATAGACCCATCCGCATCCGATCTCTCAACTGGCTCCATCAATTCGGCCACAACAATGGGCTGAATTGGAACCGTGGATGAGTCCGCTTCCATTCTCCGGAACACAATGACCAACATTTGTATCAAGGAAGCTTTAGCCGTGGTTTGATTCACCACGTTCTTGCTCCCCAAATAAATATCGTAACAAGTCCTCACAATCTGCAGCAAGCAATCTCCGTGTATCCGCAAGGAAATCGATGTCACCGCGGACAAAAGCGCTTTAAGAACCGAAAGCTCGATTGCATCGTCGCCGATATCGTAGCACTTACAAACTGATTCGATCAGTCTAGCCAGCAGCTTGCCCTCCGTGGCCCCCGTCGGGTCCGCCTCGCCGCGCAAGTAGCCATGCGCAATCAATTTCTGAACGCAATCAATGGCTGGATCCACGATCTTGAGGAATCCAGTGCCACAAGCATTGATGAGAGGACTGAGGATGGATTCGGATTCAGCAAGAGAGTACTCAGTCGTCCCGCCGTCGTGAAGCGGGCCGGGGATGGAAGCTTCCGGATCAGCATCGGCGGCAGAGGACGACTGCTGCTGCTTGTTCGGAGAAGTGAGCCTCTCGAGGACGGATTTGCATTCATGAGCGAGCTTGGAGTGTTTCCGCCAGGATGCGTTCTTGACGATCTTCTCTAGGGCAGGAGCTACGACTTTGCTTAAGCGGGAATCGGCTTCCGAAGAAGCCATTCCCGAGTCAATTTCGTCGCGTGGCTCAGCAACTTGACTGAGATCTACAAACGCAAAATCGACGTAATGTTATCGCTCAATTTCCGGCCTCGAATCGGATCGCATATCAAATGCCCAGCAAGAGCAGCCAGCACGGAGAATGAGCGGAAGAAGGAGCGGACGAACGGAGAGTGGGGAGGGAAGGGTGAAGTGAAAGGGTTTGAGATTTTCCGTTTTGTTTTTCAAGATTTAGATCCGTGTTTTGTTAATCGACATTAGAACTTAGAAGTCCATGTTTGAACGTTCCGTGACAGGAATACCCTCGCCTTAAAGTGAGCTTGTGAGGCTGATCTGAATTAAGGAAAGGCAAGGGAAAGAAAAGACTTTGACGGTTGAACAGCAATGTTTTAACGATGACGATTAATGCTTGAGGTGTTTTTGGGAAATTTTTACCTCCGTTACTGCTGACATCAACGGGAAATTAGTCATTTCGCCGTCGATCGCCGCATTGGCGGCGGCGGCGGCGGGACGCTGTCTGCTAAGTGTTACCAAGTGGGCTTTTCTTCCAGCCTACTCCATCAGCAAAGGTTAAAAATTTATTATAACTAGTTAGATCTCATCCTATTCTTTCGTGATTTAAATTACAGGTTTGATATATTTTTCTTGATTTCTTCATATAATACTCACTAGCACTAGACCCGAATATATGATATATAATAATGGATATGATAGATATTAGTAAATTGGTAGGAAAAAATCTGATTGAAAGCGTGAATAATTCACTCTCCTTGGAGTGTTATTTGCACCTACTATAAATTGTTGTAGGATCGAGCAAACCATCTTTAGGAGTTCTTTCAATTCAAAGTATGAAAGCATAAATCTTGCAAACTTCCGTGTCTATGAAATAGAGAAGGAAATGGGAAAAAGAATCCTCTCGTCTTAAAAAGAGGTATGACAATCATCTATTTATACTTGTGAAAACTGCAAGTTACCTTCCGAAAAGACACACCCTTTCACTAGAAAAATGTAGTATCCTTTCACAGAAAAAGGAAGTTACATTTCTGGAAGGACACATCCTTCTCTATTTCATAAACATAGAAGTCTGCAAGATTGCTGCTTTCAAACTTTGAATTGAAGGGACTCCCGGGGTGGTTTACTCGATCCTACCAGCAATTTACCGTGGGGCGGGTTAGATCAGGTCCTTAAGGCATCTTTTTTAAGAAAAATCTTAAACCCCTTTCAGCCAATAGGAGGAGAGAGAGAGTGATTAGTAATGATTGGTTAACTACCTACCTAATACGTTAAAGGGTAAGATAGGAATATAGAAATAATTAAATGATATTATTAATTAAAATCCGAATGGGAGAAATCACACAGAAAACGAATTAATTGGGGTTTCGATAATCATTCTCCTCCCAACCCTAAACCCATTCATCCTTCAAAAATCACCGTCGGGGCCGCGCAGCCGGCCGGGCGTGTGCTTTCCGACGCTTGTTTTCCGGCGTCAGCGTCGTCGACTCGCATCCAAGGCCGGTGACGTCTCGGATGTCGTCGTCTCTCCTTCTCGTCTGCCGTTCGCCGCGTTCGTAGACTACCGGTGCTTGCTTTCCGGCGTCGTTGTCTCGTTTTCTCCTTCGTCGTCGTCGACTCGCATCTTAGGCCGGTAACGTCTCGGCTGTCGCCGTCTGTCCTTCTCGTCTGCCGTTCGCCGCGTTCGTAGACTACTGGTTCCATGGAATCGCCAAGACCCTTTATGTTTGGTAAGTTTTTTGGACTTCGTTTTGCTAACGTATATTTGGTTGCGTTGTTTAATAAAACAGGCCAGAGTTGTTAACAATTTAAGTTAATAATTTGGTGGGGGATAATTAATAATGACTTCACAAATACGAAATCAATATTGGAGACGGAAAAATTGACGTGCACAGATTGATTAACAATGGACACAAATAATTGACTTGCATGACAGATTGATTAATAATATAGAGAAAAAATTGAAAACGAGCACATATTCATTAATAATAGAGACACAACACGGTTTCCAAACGCCCACGGAATGATTAATAATAGATGTCAAAAAGGTTGAGAACGAGAATAGGTTGATTAACAATGGGATGAAAAACTCTGCAAACGTCCACGAAATTATTAATAACAGACACCAAATAAATTAAAAATAGACCTACTATTGTGCAGCGCGCCTACTCCTCCCATGCAACGACAAAACCCTATCCCATGCAACGCCAAAACCCCACAAAATACCGGCAAAAAAATTGGAGACGAAAAAATACCTTAAAACGCCGCCAACGAGAGTCTGAGAGTTGAAACAAGATCACGGAAGGACTCAGCGATGGTGAACTCGAATCGTCGGCCGACGGCAGCAACAGGATGGAGAACTCAAAACGTCGGTCGGCTGCTGTGCTTTGCGAAGGATGCTGCCGTCGACGAGAGGCTGTTGTGCTTTGCGAAAGCTTTGCGACGGAGAAGGGACGGAAACAACGGCTGACCGAGAAGGGACGGAATCGTCGGCTGACCGAGAAGGGCTGCTGTGCTTTGCGATGGAGAAGGGACGGAATCATCGGCACGACGACTGGCTGCTGTCCTCTGCCGGAAATCTCAGCAGCGGGAGGGAGACGGAAACAACGGTTGATGGACTCGGGACGGAGAAGGGACGACCGGACGACGGAGAACTCGGGACGGAGAAGGGACAACCGGACAACGGACAGAGAAGTTGGGACGGCAGCCGGAGAAGTCGGGGAGACGGACGGTCGCTCTTCTTGCGGGAGGAATAATAAACAGACGAAAGCAATGGATTAGGGTTTTTGACAAATAAAAAACGCATGTTTTAATTTAATTGTATTCTCATTAATACCCCTAACAACTTCTTAACTAATAACTCCCTACTAACTACCTAATCTTGAGTTAGCCAATCAGAAGGCTTTAAGTTCCTCCTTAAAAAAGAGGCCTTAAGGACCTGAACTTAGGCCACCGTGGGGGCAAATAATACTCTAAGGAGAGTGAATCATTCACGCCTTCAATCCGATTCTTTCCTACCAATTTCCTGAGAATAGATACTCTAAAATGCATGAAATATCTATCTATGCATAATGTGGTAAGAAGAGGAGAAATGTGATCTATGAAATAAGTGTATAATTATTTACTGAGTCGAATATTAGAGGTGCTTCCAATAATACATCCATAATCAATCTTAAAGATGAAAGCAAATGAATTGTCTCATAATATTCAATATGAGCCATGGCATAACATGCCTCCTTGAAAGATTTGGGCAAAACTCCATCCACTCTCCTGACATCCTCAAAATTGCCTAAAACACGAACAATGAGTCGTAGCATACGCGGGTAGAAACTTTCATATTTTGGTGAAGTATGACAGTAGTATAACCGACCAACGTATAATTTGGAGTTCCACCTGTGCCACACACAATTTGTTTTATTCCAAACTTATTGTCGATGAACGGAAAAGTATGCTTCCTGGCTTCTGAAGATAACCAACTCATTTTCATCCATTCCAACAACATAGAGATTTTAGCACTTTTAGACCGAAGCAACCCTTGAAGGGAGTATTGCTTCGAGAAAACAACATTTTGGCTCGGAATATAGTAAGACATACACAATATTGATGGATATTGTGAGTAGACATCAAACTTAAACAACCTCTAGCATGCTTCACTAGATGTTACGTCACGTCAATCTAAAAATGCTTTTTATCTCATTGATACATAAAACTTTCATAATGAATTGCATCTTATGTAACTTGTCATTAATATTTATTGGTTTAATACACTTGTATATCCAAAACTTTCACGGTTGTGCCAATAATATCCAAATTTCCCGAAATACCACTTATATCCATGTTTTAAAGTTTTTCTTTGCCAAATCTATCCATTTCCCAATATATTTTTGGTTAAATACACTTGTGAAAGTTTTGGATTTGTGATAGTTTTGGCAAAGAACAACTTTAAAACATGGATATAAGTGGTATTTCGGGAAATTTGGATATTATTGACACAACCGTGAAAGTTTTGGATATACAATTGTATTTAACCATATTTATTATGTAAAAATACTATATATTACGTAAAGATTTATGTAAAATCACTATATAACTATTACGCAGTTGAAATATAAGTTATATAAATACTACGTAATGACCTGCTATCTTACGTTATATGAAATAAAAAAACCTGCTATAACATGTAAAAAACTTAAGTCACTGTATCTAATATGGAATCTCATAATTTTATATATTAATTGATTAGATATGATAAATGCTAAAAATATAAGAATATATCTAAAAGGAAATTACAAAAGAGTGAAAGACTAGTATACACACCCACTCAATAGTCAATACTAACCATTGTGAAATCGGTTTAAGCTAATTTAGCAAGTAGTATTATTCGACCAATGGTACAACCAATTCATGCTGATTTAGTAAAATATATTTGAAAATATGAAAAATCAATGATATCAAATGAATTTAAGCATATAAAAAACATGTTTGAAAACAATTACCTATAATTTATATACATATTTAAAATACAACATTCCAAATAAAAGAATAAAAACTCATACTTAAATATAACATTTAACATCAACACCCAAATACGCGCCTAGTCATTAAACTTTGAGAAAGAAAAAAAAAATCCAGACTCTACCATTGAAATCTTCAGCATTCTACAAAAAAAAAAACATTCAGCAGCGACGACAGATGGAGACTCGATAACATCATTGCATGGCGACAGTAGAAAGTCGATTAGAGACTGTGACTGTGAGAACAAAGAATTATCGGCAACAGGATTGGAGTTAGCTACAGGATGGAGATAAAGTGAGAGGGGGGGGGGGGAGGAAGAGAGATAAAAGGGAGAAGATAATTGAGATTTGTGATAGAGGTTTTCACGAAAGATGTAGCGGGTCTGAAGAGAAAAGAAAAGGCCCAATTTTTTCCTGGTCCCGAGAAAAGGCACATTTTTTTTCTAGTGCCGCATCATCTAGTGTCTAATAAACGCACATCATCATTTAAATGGGATCAAATTGTCAAAATGGCCCTTCCATAAATCACTCTCCAGCTAGAAAATTCAAAATGCTGAAAAATTCAACCCATGTTTTGCCTTTATATATTTTGTAGATTAGCCATGCCATGCTAATCTCATGGAGTCATGGTTATGGGCAATGGTAGTGCGAGCAATATACTTTCAAACAATGGTTAAGGGTCTGACCAATGTCGCAAAGTGTAGTTTTTATGTAAAAGCAAAATGAAGAGTAAAAGCATAAGCGCAAAAGGAAGCATAAAAGTATAAACGTTTAAACATTCTTCAAATTTGATAGAAATTTTCTAATGATAACTTTTATTTTGTAAAATATAAACAAATAAGTGAACTAGTTTAAATATTA